CAAGACATGAACTCATGCAACCAGGGACTACAGGGAAAACTGTAAAAAACAAAACACACCATACAAAATGAACACACGGATAATATTAATAACACCCTGAAGTTCACATCACTTCTCTACACTCAAATTTTGTAATATATAATAATAATATATAATAATAATGGAAGGAAGATCCGAATGAGAGCTTATTTCTGATGTTGAGAGACAGATACATGTCTACAGATGTTGCAGCGACACCACACACCAAAACACTGGTTGCAGACATGAGGTGTTTTCGGAAACCTGCCTATTATTAGCAGGTGACACTCGGCGTCAGCAGCAGCACAACGCAACCACAAATGGCCACCATCCAACAGAGCAGAAAGCAAAACGCCAATGTGAAAGCGCCTCAACTCACAAAAAAACATTATGTAAGGACAGGATCAAATTGTTGGAAAAATAATTCCAAATGCTTAAAATTTTTTATTATGACCTTGTTAGAAAGTTCACATGTGTAATTACAATATTTCAATGTTTTTTTCACTTTTACTTTAAGCTTGATTTGTACATTGCAATGTGTGTATTCCCACTCTTGATTTTCCTCCTGAACTCCTGGCATGGATGAAAACGTCCACTAAAACCTTTTTAAAAACGATTTAAAAAATCACTTTCCACACTTTCTAGACTGTGAGTATCCCAACAATCTTGACTATTTCTTTAAAATAAATGTACCTTTCTTTTCAGGTAACGCCCAGGAAATGATGCGCCTCACTAGGCAGCAGTTGAGCAGCACCTTCTTTGAGAAACCATGATTTCTGGGGAAGTGGCACAAGTCCTCCCTCCAGTGGGTTCTCTTGGCTGGTGTGGACATGGTTATGCTCAAAAAGACTGTTCAAATAGAGAGCACAAGATGTTAGAGCGACGCAAAAGTAGATTAAAGAACAGCAATTCTATATAGTTCAATTCCATTCGGTATTATTCCTATGCATACATTATGACCATACGTTTAAGAATGCATACGGTTACTGCTTTCTAGGATACAAGTCTGTTGTCTCTAGAGCAGCCTGTCCTAACCTAAAAGTGTCTTCTGCCATTTAGCATGAAGAGTTTCACTCTACTGACAGAGTGCTTGCCCTCTCTTTGTAAAGAACAAACAAATCCAAGCAGTATTTTAGTCTTAGAACAGGTTTCGAAGCTTAGAATTATGTCCCAAAAAGGGCTAATCAAGTTTTTTTAAGTTATCCAAAGCTAAAAAAGGAGGATTTGGCTTTTTGTAGAATGTTTACATGTATAGATTAAAAGACTACATTAAACATGTTTTTATATTTTAATACTAAAACTGAAAATCAGACCAATGCAGCAAAGTTTGATGTTTATTACAGCACATTATCAGTCCTAAGTTTCACTGTGTTAACATGCCTGAAAACCACAGATAATGAAATTCTAGATTATCCAGGTACACCATGCCCTTACCGTGTACGATAAGACGAGTGGCTTTAAATTCCTCCTGTTGAGTAACAACAAGGTCCTCAGATTTCACGAAACTGCTCGCTTTCCCTTTCTTCCCTTTCTCGCAAGTGAAACAAGAGTGATGGCAGGAGAGGAAGAGGAGAAGGAGGAGCAGGAGGAGAAGGAGAGTGACTCTTGTGACCAGACCGTCGGCCAATGGTCTCAGCCCCCGTCCACCTCTCGCTGGAGCAAACCACAAACTGCAAGCAGTGCATCATCATCATTAGTGTCCCAGGAGCGTCCACAGAGACAGCAGCGTGATCTATTCACATCAGTGACGGCCACCTCACTCACCTAGTGAAGAATTACAGCCAGGAGCGCAGACTCACGGGTCAATGGCCATGTCTGTCTTTCAGCAAGAACATTTATAGAACAACCTTACGCAAGTACACAGATGTACATTCATCACTCTGCATGTACCCAAATATACAGATAAAATAAATTAAACCCCCATCATCCCCAGTTTCACAACATCCTTCATTCCCTGATCTCTTCAATAAACTCACACAGACACACATACACACATACACAGGGGCTCAGACTCCCCTACTGCTCAGCTGCCATAATTAGCAACAGTAAGCCCCCACCCATCCTCTACACCAACAAAATCACACAGCCTACTAAATCTGACCCTGACAACAGGCTAAGAGACCGAAAAAGAAGGAAATCTCACATACAATAAAGGCCGTGATTATTTAGCTGATCACTGTGTACATAATGTCAGATGAGGAGTAAAAATGCTCTCCAATTATGGAACTGAGGGATTTAATCACACCCCTAGAGTACAGCATAGCTAACGAGGCCCTAAAATTAGCCTAGCCTCCATTTCCAGTTTTTTTTTTTTTTTTTCAAATTCCTGACAAGTAGAATCCCCATAGACTACCCCATATTTATTTATAGCATGAAACATACAGACGTTACTGTAACTATCATCTCATAAACAGTAGAGCAATTAAACCTAAGATCCTGCTAGCAAACATAAGCATGTATCAGAAGCATAACATCGTTGAACTTGTGTTTCTATCAGAATCAAACCACTTCGAAATACATAAACACATGAACATACCATTTAGAACTATATTAATTAACTGCTAATTTAAGTACTCTGTATTAGATTTAGAAGGTTTACCCTAGTCATTGTGTATAATGTATGTAGTCTCAGTGGACTGCAGGGATACTTAAAGGTCTTGGCAAATGAAATGTTCCTTGTCTTGTTAAAGCCCCTCAGTATTATGTCTTACACAGTCACTGGTGAGTATGGCTGATCAATAATGCAAACCTTTCAACCTAATCCTAACAGAAATCAGGAACTGAGAGATTTACTAAAACCATAAGCTATGCAGGCGTGTTTAAATGTCAATCAATATTCTGGTCTTTAATTTGCAGAAACCGCATTGGTCAATTACAGTGGGTGCTATCTCAGTACGTGGCTGAGCCCAGTATCTGCTGTTATTGCAATAAAACTGTGATTCACACTAGTTTTTTTTTTTTTGCTAATATAACATGGACTTTACAATGATACAATCATACTATTTTATATTTATAAATAATATTCAGACTAATGTTAAAATGTATCAGTACTAAAACTGCTGACATTTTTTGACTTAATTGTTTATTTACTGATCTATAGGTCCTTCCTTAATTTAATCTGTAATCAATCTATTTTAAAGAGCTCAGTTTCAAAGCTCTACTTATTAAAAAAATCTGGGCTTTATAATGACAGTTTATTACATTCACCTCTCTGTATACTTAGGTTTAAACCTTTATCTTTTAAACCAGTGTGTGTTTTGAGGCTCAATTTGGTGCAAACAGGTCTGTTCTGTGTGTAGCCTGCTAGCTAGCTAGACACAGCAGAACCTGTCACATTGATCCTTTCTGTTACTCCAATACCAGTGATATGACTTCAATCTCTCAAACATTAGTTTCACAAAACTCACATCAGCCAACAACAGCTTGGATATTTGATTTGAGCTAGCAAAGCCAAGGCTAACTTAGTGTTTGGGCTACAAAACCCTAATTTCAGCTTTCTGTCTTTTCAATAGCAGTCCCTTGACCCGAGTCATTCTTATTTAAATGTTTATTAGTGGGGTTTCAATCAGAAAGACATGAATGTGTTCTTTGTTGAACTGAATGTCATTATGCTAGTCCATCTGGACTACTTACACAGTGTAACGGTGGTTTTACATGTATTGTACTACTGCGCATGTGCGCCAGAGCTGTGCTCTCTCTATGAAGACGGTGAGCTAGCTGTAGTATGGCCTCCGGTCTGATGTACCTACTCTAAGCTATCTGGACAGTAATGGGGAGATGCGTTGGTGCTTATGTACTATTAAACCCGTCTTCTACCCCGCATGGAGTGTGTCCTGTGTGTGTGCCTCGAGGGAAGTCAGGATTAAGTGTGTTTTCTCTGCTAGCTCCTCCACCACACGCGTTTTCACCCATTACAAGTGGCGCCCGAACTTTTTTTTCCCCCTCCGGCTCTCGGATGAAGCTAGTTAGCTCCGGATGCTAACTCATCAAGCTAACTGGACTCTGACTGTTCATTCTGAGGTTGCTCTGTGGAGTTTTTGAACCGAGTGCGGGACTGTGCTCATATTTTGGAGTTTATTCGGTGAGTGCACCCGTTTTTTCCACTTTTTGTCTCTCCACTGTGGATCGCTGCTAATGCTGGAGACTGTTAGCCGGCTAGGCTAATGCTAACGCTGCCCGGCCGTGTTGATATCCGCGCTGATGGACTGTATTCATTAACGGCGGACACTTTTTACGTGCTTTTTACTTTTTCGAGAGGTTTTTTTGAAACAAGGATCGTATTTTTGGGACATTGAGTATCTGCCGCAAACCTTTTGCTCGCTGGACCTGTTGAATGGACTGTACTGACTGCTTGTGTATTCGCCCGCTAGCTTCACTAGCTGCTGTGCGCTGGGAACTGATGCATCTCGTGGGACTTTTTTTTTCTCTCTCTCATTTTGGCCTCACTACTGCTTGTTTTTCGCCTATTTAACGGAGGACTATTAACGTAAGCGTTTTCGCTCACTGACTGAACTCTCAGCTCGTGGTGCGTGTGTAATTGCGGACTGTCTTCATGTTCAGCGCTGCTGCTGCTGCCGCCGCGTGACGTCAGTGTTGGGGTTGGTGAGAGAGACGTTTCTCGTTGGACAATTTGGGGGTGTGTTCACAGGGCTGCTCATCACAGTACATCAGACAGGTGGGAAACATCAATCAGAGTGCAGATAATACTGAATCATCCCTTTGTGTATTGAGTTTTCTATTAATGGTTTAAGCAGAAGGTATTTTATCAGTATAAATTGCATTTACTGTTTATTTTCCTCATATAATTGAAATATTTCAAAAAGAAGAAGGGAGAAACTTACATTTGAGCCTGTTATATATTTCTATGTATTTTATTTCTATATTTTGTTTTTGTTTCATTTCATTAACTGGGGCTGGTTAATAACAGTATTTGTATGGTGACAATTTTTTTTTTTTTTTTTTTGGTACATTTTCTTAACAAAATGTCTGACAGCGATAGTGACTGTGAACCACGTGACTTTAGTCCTCAACCACACTCTAGTGATATGCAGGTCCAAATGAACCTGTTGAGACAGGAAATGGGAGTTCTTAGGGACTGTTTAAGTAGTTCCTTGCGCATGCAGACTGAAATCCTTAAGCAGTGGGAAAAAGAACCTGAGCCCTACGCTCCTCGTCATGTAGTCACATTTTCTGACCCACTTAGTGCATCCACACCCCATCACATCAACCACACTAGTCAACCAGTAGGTGTTCAAGCTTATGATCACAGGGCTCCTGAGGTTCACAAAACCACTACTCACCCAAAGCCAGAGACATGCACTGGTTCGGGGGCTACAGGACTCAAACTCGACCCATGCTCAAATAGTGTGTTCTTGTCTGGAACAAAGACAAATGCTTCTTGCAGCAGTGTCAGCTGCTCAGGTGGTCATCTGTTGTCCGACTCATCTATTCTCAGTGGCACTTCAAGGGTTTTGACGTCTCTGTTGCAACAATCCAAGCTCGAACCTCCTGTATTTAGTGATTCGGGAAGTGTTTCCCCAGAAGAATGGCTTCGTGCTGTGGACTCTTACAAGCATGATGTGGGGCTGTCAGATGCCCAAGTCCTGTCAGAACTGCCGAGATTTCTAAGGGGTGAGCCTGGTCGCTGGTTTCAGGTGCTCAAACCTCATCTTCGCAACTGGTCCCAGTTCTCTGAGCTTTTTCAAAAGGCCTTCTTGCCATTTGATAATCAAGAAAGAATTTGGAGAAACATCCTGGACCACGTTCAAGCTCCCGACGAGCCCCTGCCAACTTTTGTTGCACACATGCTATGTGAATTTGCTAAGCTCAAGAATCCACCTCCTGAACAGGAGCAAGTTGAGATTATTTGCAAACATGCTTTAGAGAAGTATGCTGTTGCTCTTTATGGCACACCTGTTCCGTCTGTCGCAGACCTGTTGCTACGAGCCCATGAACTGCATGCAGCCCTTGGTCACCGCGATCGCAATAGACCACCACCTTCTCTTCGTAAGCCAGCTAAATCTGTATTCTGCTATGGGTGTTCCTTGCCTGGTTTCACTGCACGTACTTGCCCACAGTGCAATTCTTTGGATCCCCAAGAGGAAGAAAGCGGGTCAGGTGCTATGTTAGAGAGAACCGGTGATGACTCCCAAATATTACAATATCGTGGCATGTCACATGTAGACAGGGGCCAAGCAAAGAAAAAGCGGCAGCCCCAGGGAAACTTGCAAGGGGGGAGGCCGTATCGACGAGGCACCCCTCCCCCCAGGAATTAGCTAAGCCTCTTTCTAATGCCCCTGGTGTCACCTTTCTGGGACACATTGAGGACACCACGTCCACTGCCTTCTGGAATACCCCATTCTGTGTCACATTGAAGCTTAAAAACCATGTTGTGACAGCAACCTTAGACACCGGAGCTTCACTTTCTGCCATACAAGCAACATATGTAGAGAAAGATTCAGACGGAAAGATCAAGTGCACGCCATGGACAGCTCCTCCTTTAAGACTGGCTGATTCAGCACGCTGTGACCCAATTGGTGTTACCTGGCTACCAATATGGTTCCAGGGTCAACGTTTCTTTCACCGATTTGTAATTCTTAGCCAGATGGCTTCTCCAGTCATTCTGGGAATGGACTTTATGCTCCGTGCATCCGTCACCATACACATACCAAGTAGAACTGTGTCTATCGGTACCCAGGCAGACCAAGGCGGGGGTGTATTGGCTGATGCACCAGTTCCTAAGGAAACACTGTGTACACTGGAGGGTCCTGACCTTTCCTGCCCACAAGGGGAAGCCAGTTCCATATCAGTTAAGGTAGGAGAATCTTCATTAAACCATGACCAGAAGGAGAAATTGCAGGAACTTTTGAGGGACTTTCAGGGTCTGTTTGCTGGCCGCCTTGGTCACACCACGCTAGCAGAGCATCGTATCGAGACCGGGGATGCCAGGCCAATTAACCTCCCCCCCTATCGCACCTCTCCGCTGAAAAAGAAACTTATCGAAGAGCAAATACAAAAAATGTTGGAAGAAGGCATAATCGAACCAGCTTCAGGTCCGTGGGCAGCGCCAGTTGTCATTGTGCCAAAAGCCTCCGGAGAACCAAGGTTTTGCGTCGATTACAGAGGACTTAATCAGGTGACCGTCAAAGATCGCTACCCACTGCCAAGAGTTGACGAATCATTAGACTTCCTAGCACGGGGAAAGTTCATCTCTACTATTGATTTAGCCCGAGGGTACTGGCAGGTTGGGGTCGAAGAAAGTTCAAGGCCAAAAACTGCATTTGCCTCCCACTGTGGCCTATTCCGTTTTAAAGTTTTACCGTTTGGCCTTTGTAACTCACCTGCCACTTTTCAAAGACTTATGAACACAGTCTTGGCGGGACTGGTGTATAAGTGTTGTGCAGTCTACCTTGACGATGTGGTGATCGCGTCGCCAACTTTTGATCAACATCTCCGCGACCTGAGAGAGGTGTTTACAAGGCTCGAATCGGCCGGACTATCACTGAAGCTGGGCAAGTGTCAGTTTTGTTTGGATGAACTTAAGTTCCTGGGGTACAGAGTCTCTCCTGAGGGAATCCGACCTGACCTTGACAAGGTAAAAGCAGTTACAGAATTCTCAGTGCCAACTGATGTGCGACAAGTAAGACAGTTTTTAGGTCTGACTAGCTATTACAGACGGTTCATAAGTGGATATGCAAAGCAAGCTGAACCCCTGTTCGCCCTGACCCGACAAGACTCTTTGTTTCTATGGGATGAAAGCTGTCAGCAGGCAATGGACTTTTTGAAAGAACGCCTCACCTCAGCACCCATATTATGTTTCCCTGATTTTGAGCGCACTTTCTACCTGCACACAGATGCATGTGACTTAGGACTTGGTGCGGCGCTTATGCAGAAGGACGAAACTGGGAAAGAGGTGGTGGTGGCATACGCCAGTCGCACTCTGCACAAATCTGAAAAACCCTACTCAACGACTGAGAAAGAGTGTCTCGGGGTGATTTGGGCTCTAGAGCATTTTAGACCTTATATTGAAGGTCTTCCAGTTACAGTCTATACAGACCACAGCAGCTTGAAGTGGCTTATGTCTCGGCCAAACCCGTCAGGTCGACTTGCAAGATGGTGCCTTAGGCTCCAGGATTTTGACATCAGAATCATTCACAAACCAGGTGCACGAAATCAGGTGCCAGATGCGCTGTCACGGAACCCCGTGCAGTCAGACCAGGGCCCCACTGACCTTCTTCCAGAGCATGCGGTCATAGCAGGCCTAGACCTCCGTGCCCAGCCCATGGTGGAACTGACCGACAAAGAGCACTTACGGCGTCTTCAGCATGACGACCCAGCCTTGTTGAATATTTTCCAAAAGTTGGAGAATTCCCAGTGTACTGAGTCCGAGGAGGACTGGGAGACCAAGTTCACTGTGCATGAGGGACTCCTGTATTACAGAGAAGGCAGATTTAGCTGTAGCTTACACCCTCTGAAGGAGCTAAAACTTTATGCCCCGGAATCCATTAGAGGTTCCTTGCTGAATTATTTCCATGATCACCCGACCGCTGGTCATCTGGGCATTACGAAGACCCTCGCTAGAATGCGCCTGCGTTTCTTTTGGCCAAAGATGAGGAAGGATGTAAAGACGTATGTGCTCTCTTGCCCAGTGTGCCAACTTACCAAACCTAGTCAAAAGAAACCTGCTGGTCTGCTAGTGCCTATCCATACCAGTGAGCCATGGGAAGTCGTTGGTGTTGACTTTGTGGGGCCGTTACCCCGCACAGCGTCTGGAAATGCTTATATTCTAGTCTTTGTTGACTACTTCAGCAAGTGGATAGAGGTGTGCGCAGTCAGAGAAGCCACAGCACAAGTCGCCGCGAGCAAGTTTCAGAGTGAGGTGTTTGCCCGCCACGGGGCCCCAAAGTACCTAATTTCAGACAGGGGTACGCCGTTCATGAGTGAACTTTTCAATCAAGTGCTGACAATTGTGGGTTCTGAGCATCGTCTTACCACAGCTTACCACCCCCAGACAAATGCGACAGAGAGAGTGAATCGCACCCTCAAAACAGCGATTCGAGCATATGTCGGGGATAAACATAACACCTGGGACAAGTATATCCCACAGATTTGCTTTGCACTCAGAACAGCCCCTCACGAAAGTACGGGTTTCAGCCCAGCGAAAATGCTCTATGGGAGAGAACTTGCGACCCCAGTAGACTTGCTGACCCAACCGTCCACTGATGGGACAGACGACCCTTTCTTGTCCCCGCCACAAACCCTTGAACAGTCTTTGCAGGAGACTCATGATCATGCTCGAGCAGCACTTCAGACTAGTCACGAACGTAAAAAGCACTATTACGACTTAAAACGTCGACCTGTCACCTATCAGCTCGGAGACCTGGTCCGCCTTAAGACTCATCCCCGCTCTGATGCTGTAGCAAACTTGACTGCAAAGCTAGCATGTGTTTATGCTGGACCTTACCGCGTTGTCCAAAGGCTGTCTGCCGTCAACTACCGTCTAGCCAATATGGATGGCACAGATGTGGGTGTTGTTCACGTTGTTAATCTCCAGCCTTTCCACACGTGGACCACATCAGAGTCACAGAATAAACGGCGGCACAGCCCAAGCCGTTCCAGACAGCACGAGTCTCACAGTGCAGTCGATGAGGATAATGATGATAGGCCAAGTGGGAATCTAGATGATGTTGGCAGCTCAGGGGATGAGTGCTCAGCACCTGACGAGGCTGTGGAAGAGGAACCTAAGCTCGAAAGTCAAATAATTAGTCCTGAGTCTGGCCTTGTTGACTTGTCACAGCCTTTAGCTGACATGTTTGATGGTGACACTGACGTCCCACTTCCTTCGAATTATAATTTGAGGAGTAGGGCAGATACTGCTCCTATGCTTGACGCAGACATTGACTTTACTACAGGCCTAGGCCCTGACAGTAGTGCTGCTGGCAGTGACCCATCTGACGTTCCACAATCTAACGCTTATGACCTCAGACCAGTACTCTGCGTTGATACCACTGCTT